GGTAAGGACCTTTCGTCATGATCTCTCTCTCTCTCTCTCTCTCTCTCTCTCTCTCTCTCTGCTACTACCTGATATAGACACCAGAGGAACACATATCTGGAAGTCTTTGTATGATCTCTCTCTCTCCTCGTTCACTACCTAAAATGAAATTGCAGGTTGTATTCCATTGAATTTCTTTTTTGGATATGCTTAACATGTATGCACCAGTGCAGAATCATGTGGAAAAGGTGGAGTTGTTTCTATTTGTGCCTTTTAAAATATTTTACCTCTGCTTACTGATGTAATTAAGTTATATACCTTACATCACTTGAACCAAATTACTTGAAATCAATTGTCATTTCATGTAGGTTGGTCAAGAACCTGGGGTGAAGAGCACTTGGGAAATGGGTACTTTTCTGAGTTTTGGTTGCTTACAGTAGTCTTTAAACATGTATCAGCTGTGAATCTTTTTTGCCTAGAAGAATCAATTCTCCCTAAACTTTCAGAAATAGAAAGACCATAGTGTCTCACTTCCTAGTTCCTAATCCATTTATCTAGGCACAGAATGAATGCAATATGTTTTATTTTAGTCTTTCTCTCTGTGTTGAGAGGCAAACCACAAAATGTAACATTATTTGTTTATATTTGTAGAATTTCTGAAGTTTTGGCTTCCTGAACCTTCAATGTTTGCCTGTTCCTAGTTCCAAAGTTGGTAGTTAAATTATGTTATGCTTATTCGATAAATCTTACTGTATTGCTTTGTCTGTGCTCAAGATATTCCTTTGCAGAACCATATAATTTCATTCACCTACTCATTCTTGTGTACGTTCTTTTTATGAATAAACTTGTATATCACTGTGTAACTGAATACATGACAAGCAATTAAATAATCCATTTATCCATTTGGAGAGGGGTGTCTCACATACATATTTTTGGAGGCTAAGATTTCTAATCATCCAGTGGAATCCTTCATCACTTTGTCCATGTAGGGTGCCCAAAAATTCTTTGATTCCATTTTGCTTCTCTGTAATAATTTCCTTTGTATGATGAAAGAAATTTAATTGTTGAACTAATTCATAAAATAGCATATTTTTTATTTTTGAATTAACCATAACACACTTATTTTGACTCAGAAAAGTACACAAGTATGGTAAAAGCACGACCGGAGAAAGCTGGGATATCGTTGTGGATGAAGAAACCTATTATGAGTAAGATGATTATTTATGCTTTGTTAGTGCTTATTGTGCTTCATGCAACTTCTTTTAAGAGAACAATGCATGATATGCTAGTCTAATTCTAATGTGGTCATGTCTCCTGCAAATCTAATATATTGGTAATTCTTTTTTCAAATCAGAGCTGAGCCTCACTACGGTTGGGCGGATGTTGTGGGTGATTCCACCCAATTGTTATCGATACAACCTCAGGAAAGGCCACCAGGTGTATACCCAAATCTTGATTTTGGTACATCAGAACCAAGGAAAGATGATCCACCAGTTGAACCTCTTAAGTAGTGTTTAGTTTGCGGTAGTAGGCAGTCCTATTTTTTTTTACTAAATCTGGTTTTTGTGCTAAAGGACATCCTGAAATGATTTATCGAACCTAATTCTTCTCTTCATTTATTCATTTGTTCTCGTGTTTTGCTGCTGTTTTTCTTCATTTATTCACAGTATTGCGAGAGTTCAAACAGGTGTGGAGACAAAATCTCTTGGGTTGTATTTAGGACAAGTAGTGTATTTAGGTGATTGCTGAGTGCTTAGCACTTGTTTTCACTGTATTGTATCATGATTTTAGTAATGCCATGTAGATTATTTAACACTTTGTTGTCTGATTGATTTTAAACGGAAATCATCATATCAATTAGAGAAAATATCTCATCGAAGTCGAAACTTTTTATGTCGTATGAAGTTTTATGCTCATTGATTCTCATTATTATTCTTGTTATTCTGGATATTTGTCTTTCTATTCTTTAATCATTTTTTTTTCAATCGTAAGTCTGGTTTGCCAATCTTCAGAAAGCCAAAATCTTCTACTTTACAAGATGCATAGTATGACATGAGATACCACCATCAATCACCCAATTTAATTCTTCATTTAAATTAGGTGCAACATAGGTTACATCACAATAGCGTGTGACATTAGCAAGAAGCCATGAGGTATAATGTTGTTCACCGATATTGTGGTTCATCAACATAAATGTTGTTCACCTATATTTCTTTGATCAAACTGAACCCAACCAGGAGACCACCACGGGAAATATCTTCCTCTATAGGAGATTTATCTCAACAAGAAAACACAGATTTAGGAACGATGGGGAATTAAATTCTATGGAACTCAGAACCAATTCCATACCATTTTAGAAAATGGCAATAGCTAAAGGGTTTCTGCATAGTATTTTTGTGTGCTACGGATTCTGATCTAAATAGTTATCGTCTGGGAATTCATATTGTGCTTTCATTCAGAGAGAAAACAGTAGTGGTCAGAGAAAGATTACGTGAGTCTGCTGTTGCCATCCGAAGCAAATCTTGAATGGTTTGACTTTGACCATGAATATTAAATCTGCACATAATGCAACATAGATTCTACAGTGGGTCATGCAAACAAGATGAAACGCATGATCAGATATTGTTTCTTCTTATTCAATAGACGAGTCCCCAAATCTTTGAGAAAACAAACATAACATCACTGAGATTTTGAAATATATGGTTGCTGAGAAATTAGAGCAGAGTGTGAAATTTCAAGGTGATTGAGCTCAGTCTCTATCCATCAACAGTATCGAATTCTAATCTCCAGGTTGCTTCATTCCTCAAAATGATGCCACGGGAATTCACCTTGAATAAACAAATCGAATTCCTTAAGTCAACATAGTTCCAGGTATTCATAGATATTCTCAGCATTAATCATCTGCTTGCTCACTGCTGGTTCCTCCAGTTAAGCCCTGAAACCAACAGAAACGATGGTATGAGGTAATACATAACTAGAAAAAACTTGTCATAACAGTATATGAAGATTAAAATTGATTCTCACAAACTTACCTCAACCGCTTTGTCAGGTACATCCTCCTTTGCCCATCGTAACTAGACTCTGAATATATGATGACAATATTTTTGGTATAGAACAGTGTAACGCATCTCCACAAGCATATAATTTAATAGGCACTGCACAACATCTGATTTTTTTTTTTTTTCAATCACCATCTTCTACATCGCATTGAGTTGAAACTGTAAATATGCTACACGGCAGTTTTCAGACTTGGGGGCTCATATGTATAAATTCCTTGAACCTCTTCTTCCTTTACACCCTCAAGATGGTGTACCAGTAACCTCCCCTGGGGGCGGTGATGGAGAGGTCTTGATCTTGGAATCAGGCTCAGGAATATATGGCTGAGATGCCACATGATTAAGGGCAACAACCACATCGGCCATGATGGGTCGAAAATGGGGCTGCTCTTGAAGACACATTGAGGCAATGACAACCAATTGGTGAGAGGCCCGTTGTGGGAAGCGGCCTTGAAGAAATGGATCAGCCAACAGGTTGAACTTCCTTCTATCACTGAGAAAAGGTCTTGACTGAAAGAAAGATACAGAAGTAAATAATACAGAGCAGCCTTGAAGAAGCTTTTATCGACATGACATATGACATCAAATTTGACTATGACATTATATGAAATAAGTAGCTTTTAATGTGCACAATATATAGGAATTGCAATTTTGCTACAGAATGAGCATATGCTGTCTAATCATAGATATGTCAGCATAAGCTGAAGTATACATGGACTACTTCATGTGGAGTACATGTTTAGAACATTTATTTGGTTAACTTGATTCCAAAATTAGATCCACAAATCACCCCACTAACATTAAGAAGCAAGGGAAAATTAACTAAGGTTTCTTTTAATGTATCATGATAAAGATCATTACATATACAGTGTTACATCCAAATTGCTGTGAACTACAAGGTGCCATATAACAGAAATTCACAAATATGTTTCAGATTTGTATAAAAAGTTCCTGAAAGAAATTGAATAATAATTTATGAGGCACTACTTATTGGCAGAAAAATCAAGCATCATACGCAGCAAAGTAAAATTGAAAAATAAAAAGTCCATTTATACTGGTTTTGACAGCATAAGAAGAATATGCCAGTAGGATGAAGCGAGACTTCTTACTTGTTATGATATGAAATGTAGAATGTTATCCACTGAGAGTAATTATATGCTAAAAAGGAGACAGTCATGTTGTGATAGGATAGTCATGCATGGTAAAAAAAAGTGAGGTTTACAGTCATGCATGGTCAAAAAAAGTGAGGTTTACAGTCATGCATAGTAAAAAAAAGTGAGGTTTACAGTCATATTGTGATAGGATAGCTACATTTATGTATTGCAATAGCAGCCTAAACCACTTCACATAAAACCATACTGATTGAGATCTAAAAAGGAGATATAGGGTTATGCATGGTAAAAAAAAACTGAGGTTTACAGTCATGTTGTGATAGGATAGCTACATTTATGTATTGCAATAGCAGCCTAAACCACTTCTTCACATAAAACCATACTGATTGAGATCACTTACCCAATTTGTTAGATATTGCTCGCCTCCAATCCTTGAAGAATCAAAAGCCCTTTGCCCGGTGATCAGCTCCAACAGAAGCACACCAAAACTATATACGTCAGACTTCATTGTCAACTTGCCACTCAACGCATAGTCAGGAGCACAATAGCCATATGTTCCCATCACCCTTGTCGAGACATGTGTGTTGTCGCCATCAGGCCCAAGTTTTGCGAGTCCAAAATCAGAAAGTTTTGGATTGAAGTCATCGTCTAACAATACATTTGCAGCCTTCATGTCCCGGTAAATAACAGGAGGATTTGCAACATCATGTAGATATGTAAGCCCTTTGGCAACACCAACAGCAATCTTTATTCGTGTGTTCCATTCCAGGGGTGGTTTGCTCAGAGAAGGATCTGAAAATTTTAACAAATAAGCATAAACTGCACATGAAAAGCTTCAAAAATAAAATATAGTTTATCCAGAAAACAGTGAAAATGTGGAACATAGTTGAGAACATTATAAGACTACAAGGGAGCTGCATACACATTTTGTGAACTAAACACGGGAGATGCAGACACATTTTGAGAATATAAATTCCAGTGGCACGTTACATGCGATTAATTGTAAACTAAACATTTTGAGACCTGCGATGGAGAAAGCAACTTTTTCTACCCACAATCCTAGCTCAATAAAATATGAAAATTAACACAGTATACATTGAATCTCATGAATACTTCAGATCACAATCAGCAATCTATTATTTGGTTCGACAAGGAGTTTGTCTAAAAGCTAACAAAAGCAGTCCAAGTATGCATTTACAATATTCAAACATTTTGAACAAACATGACTGGCTAGTTGGAATGAGTATATACATCATAGTAGTTGATAAGAATCTTGTTATTATTTGGTCACTTCTAAAGAGAGTTTGTCTGAAAGCTATAAAGCTAGTTGAAATAACAACAATTAATAGAAGTCAAAATTGTGCAAATCTAAAGAGAAAAATACAAACATAAAAGAATGGTTGGAATAAATATACAACACCTGCAGCTCTAAATATTTTAGAAATATTTGTCACATTGGCAAATTATATTTTAGAAATACGAGCCAAATATTTTAGAAAGCTCAGACAAGTTACCCTAAGGGTGGTGAAATTAATATATGTTACAAATTCCAAAGTAGTTATACAATGCAAAGATTAAAAAGAACTGCATTATGTTACAAGTGGCATTGTGGAATATATTGTTAAATTTGCAAGTTTTCAATGAATCCTTTTTATGTGGTCTTCGCAATTTTTTTTTGTCAAAGCAAACTCCATTGTGGATTACAACAACCAGTACATATAAACCAGTAACCTGAAGAAAGTTAATGTATGAACAGTCCAGTCCAAGTGTGTTTCCTTAAAAAGTGTTGCCATAGTTTTTGCATTTCTTTAGATATCATTCACCAACAAATGTTGTCTGGTTTCTGCCAGTATCTAATGAGGTTTATTCCAATGTCCTTCACATGCTGGGTTTGGTGTTTCTCCATCTAACCATAAACTAACGAAGATCCCGGCAAGTACCAGATCAAGTCATCTATGCAAAGGAGGTCGTACCATGCAAAAAGAAGGATATGCAATTAAACAATTTGTTGTATACCAAGTTTAGAGGTCATCTGCAACCAACAATATACTAATGGAGATCCTGGCAAGTACCAAAACGATTGCTTGGAATACTGGATCATGTAATCCACACCAAGGTCATAAACTATGAAGAAGCAAATGCTATCAAACACATTGTTTCGTCCTTCTGGAATTAGAAGTACATTCAACTACAAGTCCGCATGCAACAAAAAAATTGCATCAGATCCTAAAACAAGATGGGCCAGCAATAAACAGAACACAAGAAAACCATCGAAAGAGAAGCAGAGAAAACAGATAGACATTGGCTGTGGAATTTCTGAAAGTAAGAAAAAAGACGCTTACCAAACAGGTGGTCTTCCAAGCTGCCCTTTGGCATATACTCATAAACTAAGAGCCTCTCGTCTCCATCAGCACAGTATCCAATTAAGCTCACAAGATTCTCATGCCGTAGCATGATCAGCATGAGCACCT